AGTGGCGAGCCGTTTCTGTCACTCGGAACCCCCACGATTTATGATAAATTGTTATCTCGCGAGTCGCCTGGCCGCTTCCAATTTGCCGCTCGTTTTCAACCCCATTTTCGAGCAGGATCGAATTGCGTGCGGTCAGACGGTATTATTTCCTCGGATAAATTAATTAATTGCGCTGCTACGTGAGCGCTGATCGATGCAGACGGACGTTTCGATTCTCTTCCTCGCAATTTGGCATGTATTCACGTCTTATCCTCTTAGAATTCTAGTTTTTAAATTTTCTATTGGTATGCACGGAGACTTCTTTCAAATTGAGGGATATTGGAGAATTTTTTTTTATTTGGAAGAGGGGTCTTTTTGGTGAAATCTAAAAAAACAGAATTTTCAAAATTTCAAGACTTCGTTGATCACTCTGAGAAGCATCGATAATTTTTTTGTAATCAGATGTGCAGAAAATGGAAAACATATGACAGAATACATTTGAATACTCAATTTTATAGTTTCACTATTTTGTTCTTCATTTAAGATTCTTACTATGTGTTCATGGTATATAATTTTATAATAATGCTTTAATTAATAGTTTTACCTCTTGAATTTATTTGTTAAGGTCACATTTAATTAAAAGAAAAAAGAACAAATGAAGAAGTAAAAGATCCTCCAATGTTATGCGAAACTTATTTAACCCTTTCTAGCTCAAATTATAAAGGTTCCTCTGAAAAAAATTAATTTCCTGAGTTGAAATTTTTTGGGCGAGAACACAAAATAAGAAGGCATAACACAAATGCAATCATTTATTCATCTATTATTTTAAAAAAATATTTATAACGTGACAATGTATACCTATTGGGCTAGGAAGGATTACAAATTTTGCCATTAAAATAATGAAAAATAAACTATTTACATGCCCCAATGCCACTATAGAAGTACACGATCGAGGAAAGAATCGACTTGGAAATTTAAGGAAATAAAATATATGAAAATATAGTGAATAACTGTTCACTACATAATCTCCTAACAAGAAAAGAAATTAATTGCTACCGATTTAAAGTTAATATAATATAACTATACAAAAGATTAGATTAAATTGTCCCTGAATAGGTTAAGCAAACAGGCATCAATTTACATTTTCTCCTGAGCTATAGCCTGACTCGATTCTCGCTCGCTCCCACTCAAGCTTCCCCCACCACTCAAGTCGATTCTCTCGTCGTTCCCCCACCACTGGTCCACCGCTCACCCCGACACGAACTTTTAAACAAACAGTGCTAACTATAGCTTGTAAATTTCCTGAAGTAGAGTCCATTGCAGGGGCACCGGGTGTGCTGCCCACGCCCTTTGCGGCCATGCACGGTCTACCCTCGCCCCTTGCTGGCCCTTACAACGGGGTGCCACCTGCCGGCGGATTGGCTGGCCTGGGTGGCTTCCCTATAGGTGCAGCTGGCCTTGGGGTGCGCGTACCCGCGAACGCGCAAACCTCTGCGGTGCTGCTCGTCAGTAACTTGAACGAGGAGGTAAGTGATGTTAGATGATGTTTAATAAAGCTGCTGTACGACGTGATCGAGATCATGGAGATCCATAGTGGAGACACGAAGAAAAATGCAAATTTAGGAATTTTATTTTATTTCTTCTTATAAAATAGTTTTTGAAAAAAGTTGAATATTAGTTTCGTAATCTTGCTTTTTCTTTGGGGGGAGAATGTTAAGTATGAAGGAATTGTTTTGGTCTAAAAGAATTTTTGAATAGGAGAATAGATAGATACTATTTGTAAAAATTAGGTTGATCATTGTTTAGTAAAATTTTGCTTCAAAATTTAAATGATTTCTTATTTTTCGGGGTTCATGTGTATCTTTATTATAGAAAATATCAATATTATATAAATAATTAGCTGTCTCGAGTTATCTTTTAAACACGATTTATTTTGATAAAAATTTCGTCCACTTTATTGATGAACTTGTAATTTTTCAATCATTATTTTTTAATATTTTTAAAACATAAAACAGTCTGATGGAATCTTATCGAAAGTTTCTTCGTGTCTTCGCAAGAAAGCAGTATTAAAGTGTACAGAACGTCGATATTTGTTGGAAGAAATCAGCATCGATCTCCACGTAATTTATAATCGGCGTACTGTACGCTTTCAGTTAGGATAATTTTCGATTATCGCTGAGAGAAATGATCCAATGGATTCCTGTACAAACAATCTGCATTATCTAAGTTTAGAGAAACATAAGTAATTATGAAACCTTTTTTTTCTCCTGAATCACTTACATTTATACAAACGTGTATGCAAGATCAAATTAATTTTTATTATAAATAAAATAATTGAAACATTATAAAGGTAAATCAAAATTTAAAAGAAGTTAATGTCTAAAATGCTTTTTTCTTTCGTTTAATCCCTTCATTTCTCTCAGCGTATACCTATGTACACGAAACTGGCTTAGGTACGTACGTATCCAATACAAATTCACGCAAATACAACAATATAATTACAACGTAGTGCTACGTAGGCTACCCTAGCAGTTTCTCCATTTTTCGACTCGAATTTTCCTTGTCGAACGTTCTCCGATTTTTCTTCAAATGTAACTAAATACATGAATATCGATTCTAATAGAAAAATTTGTTAGAATTTCGTTCGACAAGCAAAAAAGTCGAGATCTCGATGCGTATGTGCCCCATCTACGTCACGATCCCTTTTTATCTTACCCTCTGCTCCACTGCCCCTCATATTTTCGAAACACACATATAGAAATCGTTCCGAACGTCACCATCCTCTGTCCTAAGTAATTCGTAGCGTTGTTGATCACGACGTTACCTCCGACGAGACGTTTTCCGTTTTCAAAGATAACGTGAACGTCGAAAAATTAAATGGAATTGGAATTATTTGAAAATTTTTCAAAATTCAGTGCTAATAATTTCACTAAATTAAAAGTATTTAAAATTTATCTTGTGGATCATGGAATAAGAAATTTCGTAGTCTGTAAAGTTTGACGTAGAATTTCAGTAATTTGAGAAAATGGAATATTCTATTTAAAACATGAGAAATTTAAAAGTTTTGGTAATTTAAGAATTAGAATAATTTTCACGTAGTGATGTCGGACAAGTTGAACAATTTAAAATGAACCTTCTTGTAAAATCAAGAAGACTCAGGTGCGATCAAACGTCAGTTACAAAAACTTGACAGAAAAGATGAGAATTTTCAGCCTACCAGAGTTCCTTCAACATTCAAAATCATTTCCGCTATACTCAATATCATCGTGTGCAATGAATCCTTCTATACTAATGAAATAAAAATTACTTACTTATACACTCTATTCTATGGCCAACTTTCACGCCTCGAACTTGCACGAAAATGCAACAAAATTCATTTTTTATCTATAAACCATCGACGAGAAAGAAATCGTCTAACAGCAAGCCTGACGCTAGGCAACCCGTTAAGCACGGACGTGCTGTGACGCAGGTTGCCCGTTGTCAGGGGCTTTTGGGTCGATTTTTGAAAACCGAAGCTTTGCCTGCAATTTTATCATTCTTAATTTTTATTTCATTTTGCCATACGGTATCACTCTTTTCAAATTTCCACATGAACATACAACTTCTCCTTGTTAATCACATTATACTCTGTGTACCATGGCTCTAATTCTCTCGCCAGAAACGATCGAACTACAATTAAAAAAATATTTTCAACAATATCCTAATACCTGATTTCTTATTTTTCCGAACAATTAACAACAATAATCCACGTGGAAACGGAAGGCGTCTCACAATGAAACTGTGTGTTGACGTCACACTTCGCAGCTGCAACTATTGTCACTACTGTACTATAACTATGTGTACTACTATCGTTGCGCCGCGCGCACAAGCTTCCAATCGAGTGTCTTTTTCCTCTGGCGAGCAAACGATCAAGTGTTTTTTTACTATCTCTCTCTCCTTTTCTTTCTCTCTCTCTCTCTCTCTCTCTCTCTCTCTCTCTCTCTTATATATATACATATGACTATGATGTTTTTTTTAAATGTTTTTTTTTAACCCCTCGCGATGTATCGAGAAACGACAAGAACTACGAGGGATTCATATTGACGAGAAGGTCCCGGCTGTTTCTCTGCTTCTCTACGTCTCTCTGTCTCTTTCTCTTTCTCTCTTTGTTTCTGTCGGTTCTCTCCTCTCTCGATCGCGGCCGCAGGAAAATCGACCGGAAAGAGAAATTCCAACCCTTACGCTGACTTTTGTTATCATTTGTCTGTATTTTTTTTTTTTTATATGTATAAACCGTGTCCTCTGCGATTTTCGTCTTTCAAACTTCAGAGTGGTAATCGAAGATTGATTAAACTTTTCGTCCCTGAATTTTTTTTGTCTTTTTTAAATTTCATATTTTTCTACCGATCGTCGTAATGGACACTAAATTGAGAAAGATCGTCGCCTGTAATGGATGCTAAATTGAGATCAGTCTTTGCTCGAGTACTCAACGAAAGGGTTAATATCACATTTTAAAAAAATAGTATTTCTAATCAAATTTACAAGATGAGAATTTTTATTTTTCTAATTTTTTGAATGAAGATTTAAAAAATATATACCCAGTCACGGTGACTACGGTCTCGAGTAAATTTTTGAATTAAGTTTCCGAAAAATTCAGCGAAGGGCTCGGAAGGGCTGAGACTTGTGCGCGTGCCAACACTATACATTAAATCCTATTATACTCGCTGACTACTGACTGGACTCTGTCTGTTCTCTGTGTAGATGGTCACGCCTGACGCTCTCTTTACCCTGTTTGGTACGTCTCCACATTTATATTATTAATTATATTACATTATTAATTATTATATTTACACGCGCGGGACACACTGACACGTGCACACACGTACACTCTACACGCATACAGACACACTTCAGACGTGTTTTGTA